CCCCCTTTCTTTCTTTGGTTCTGTTAGTGGCCCCGCTACCCGTCGCTGGGGCCTAAGACCAAGTTTGAGGGCTCGCGAACTAGCAGCCCGCCAGCGGTGGAAACGTGATAAGAGCGGTACCGTTTGCAGAAGGAAATTTCTGATGCAACTCTCCGCCTTTGCTGATTGCCTCTCCAAACGCCTGCCTGGCGACGGCCTGCAGCATGTGCGTTATGGAAATTAGGGTATTCTTTACTTTTTAAGTTGTATTTGTCTTTTCTGGAAATTGGAAGAACCCCCGCGAACTTCTTTTTCGTGTTCTTTGACCGAAACTGGAGAGCCACAGGTGATTTTTACAAGGCCCTCTTTCTTTGGGATGTTTTTGAAAAACTCTTTTCTTGTAACTGTTTCATTCAAGAGATGCAAAGAAAAAGTCCCAAACAAGTAGCATTCGTGAGTAAATATGTGTTATTGCACAACTTTCTCTTTGCGGCCGTTTAAAAGGCCAGGCCCAAAAGACTTTGTTTCAGAAAATGCTGATTCAGCCATTTGGAGCCCCTGAGTTTTAGAAATGGTGCTCAGTTTAATGTTCCGCTCTGCCTTACCAGAACTCCAGTCGCTAGCTCCCCAGTGGCACAGACTAGGACTACACTTTAGTGAGGTTCTTTTTTTTTTTTTTTCACAGAAGTGGACCTCAAGTTCTGGATTTCTGCAGCAGAGGGAATTGTGTAAGGCGATGGATAAAGAGTCTTGAGGGTTTTTTTTTTTTTTCCCTCTCCCACCAGGAGCGCTTCTATCAAATGTGCTCCCAGGAATGACTCTTTCCTACCAAATTTTTTGTGTTTAAAAAAAAATCAAAACTTTAGGATTACTGAACATACTTTTTTTGAGGTTTCCTAGGAACTTTTGAAAACGTGCTGCCCAGGCTAGTCCCCACATTACAAAGAGGGAATTTGAGGACAGACAGAGTTACAGCCCAGCAGGCATTGCAGTAACTGAGAAGTGTAGCCACTGATACTTAGGTAGCATTTCGCAGTTTACAAGGCACTTTGAAAAGCCCTGTTGCTTTTTATCCACCTCGTAGCCCCCACGGTCCCCATTTTACAGGTCTGGAAACCAAGGCTCAGGAGGTTAACTGGTATGCCTGAGGCCATGCCAGCTAACAAAGGACAAAGCTCTGGGAGACCTCCTGAGCTTTACACGTCTGCAAAAGCACGTCCACTCTGGAAAAAATGGTGTGGAGGAGGGACGCACGCACGCGCGCCTGTCCGCGCGCCCGCGCGCCCGCCCGCCACACAGCTCAGCAAATGGAGGCTGGGGCCTAGTTTCTTAGTCCAGTTGTTTCAAGCCTTCCAAGATTAATGCCACGTAGACCAAGCAATTATCACTCTTTATTTTTTACACTTGCATACTCATTTATTTTGAGAAGAAACTTCAATGTTCATGAAATGATGAGTTTGATATGGTAATTGTTCATTATAATTAAAAAAATTT